ATCTACTTCACAATATTCCTTATGGGAACAAATTCGGTCAGTACTGGCACCTGAAAATACTTCTGGAGTGAAAAAATATCGTTAACCGGGGGTCCACTGTAATTGTATAAATAATGTCAACCAATTCGTGACTGCGTATTAGAATGGCTAGTTGGACACTTATTGGACGGTGATGTCATTTGTTTACTCCTGAACATCAGCAAAAATCGAACATTTCTGCTACTTTTGAGCTCAGTTTCAAGGTCCTTTTCATGGCGAAACCAATCAAAATCATTCTATTTCTGTAACATGTCTTCCACTGTATCAAATGAGACCAAGAAAACCAGAATACAACCATAAATACTCTACGAAAAGGCACCTCAAAGTATTTTAATCCAAAAAAAGGTTGGAGTTTTTTCTCATTATGCACTGCATGCTGCAGGATTTTTTATATTGCGCACACTGACCACACATACCCATTGTCTCGTGGGCCTACCAGCTTTCTCCCGCTTGATTTGAAGCCGCTAGAATTTTGGCGTATTATTACGTCAAAAACACTGGCTTGTAAGACATATACATGTATATATGATACCGACAGTCAAAGGGTTAATTAAAATCCAAAAATTGTAAAAAATTCAAATTGCTGTTAGAACCCTCAGGAAAAAAGATTGTAATTGAAAATACAGCACTGTACTGTACAAATAACTCGCTTCATAACACAAGGGAGACAAAATTTGACAGGAAACATAAAGGACTGCATAATATAATGCAGTATATTAAGGTAACTATAATACATTATGAGAAGGCAAAACCCATTGTAATTGGGATTTAAACCAAGACTGTTTAACTGCCTCACAGCATACATAAGCGGGATTACCAATAGACCTCTGTCTGTCTTCAAGAGGAAGCAGGACAGGCACCTAAAGTCAGTACCTGATCAGCTGAGCTGTGGTTTGTACACTGGATTGTATGTGGCTGGCAGTAACAGTCTAGTTGATCAGACCCTGATCCACCACAAGGCCTTGTCAGAGACGCGGGGAACACCCTCCGGGTATATATTTACACCAGTCGACAAGTAGACTGGATAACTGCGAAGACGGAATGAGAAACAGTTGTTCAAATTCTCTAGTACAGTGGTACCCCGAGTTTTGGCCATAATTCATTCCAGAAGACTGTTTGAGTGCCATTACCAAACAAATTTATTCCCATAAGGAATAATGTAAATTAGATTACTTTGTTTCAGACCCCCAAAAATACACTTAGAAAAGCACTTACAATAATACACTTACATAATTGTTCGAGTTGAGAGCTGTACAAAACTCAAGGAAAGAAGTTAACATACTATTAATACTAGACTTAATATTTATTAGGAAAATGAAGAGATTCTAAATAAATTGATCTTAAACCTAATTTGAAAGGAGTGATCATGTTTTGTTGGAGGTATTACCATCCTGCCAAGTGAGTGCAAAACAGAAACCTGTAATTGTTTTACATGATGGTAGGATTGCTGGCGTCTTTTTTTCTGTCTCATTAACATGCAGGGTTTCAGGTACGTCTTGCTACTTCTACTTACACTTAGGTCATGCTACACATGCATGTGCAAGCACATATATATACACACCACTCTGGGTTTTCTTCTAGTATTTCTTACTAGTTCTTGTTTTTTCCACTTATCGCCATGGGGAAGTGGAATAGAACTCTTCCTCCGTAAGCCATACATGTCATCAGAGGTGACTTAAATACTGGGACTGAGGGGGCTAGTAACCCCTTCTCCTATATATATATTACTAAATTTAAAATGAGAAGCTTTTGTTTTTCCTTTTGGACCACGCTGCCTTGGTGAGATATGGCCTGTTTATTGAAAGCAAAGATTGGAAGAAAATATTGCAAGGGACAGATATATACAAAATATACAAAGAATTCTGAAACATATTATACAATGAGTGCTTTAACAAAGGTGCTGGGAAGTCATTAAAAAAAAGAAGGAAAGGACTCGGAAAGCATGTCCACCCTGAGGCTTACCATGGATTCAGCAGCACCAAAAATAAACTTTGTACATAAAAGTGAGGAACAAGGAATAAAGAAACTGAGAAAGAAATAGTAGACAAGAACAAGATGGAGCCAAATACTCTAGACTGAAGAATACCATATATGTATAGGATCAAGGATAACAAAATTAGGGGACAAAATATATAAACCCTAGATATAAAGATGCTTAGTGTTTGCTTGAGAAAAGAATATATTAGATGTATATTAGATGGAATTTAATCTACAATAACCAGTTAAAATGGCACCCATCCAAATATCCAAAGGTGTAAAGAAGCTGTTGTTTTATACTTTATTGTGCTGCATGACCCTTCTTGGTTTAGCACTTTATTTGATTATAATAATATACTTTATTTTCAAAAAACTAAAAGTCAGTAGTAGTTCCATGTGAAATATCACTGTGGCTTTTAAAAAATGCTTATAAAAACTAAGCTATTATCTCTGAATTTTTGGGAGGATTGCATTAAAAAAAAAGTAAACTATTGGACAGGTAGAAATTAGCACACTGGTGATATTTAAAAAGGGTCACAAGGAAGACCCTTTCAACTAGAGGCCTACATCATTGACGAGCATGGTTATGAAAATGTAGAAAAAAGCCATTAGAGAAAAGTAGGTGATGCACTTGGATAGCTTGTTTCTCAAAAATAATTCATGAAATGGGTCGGCAGATTGCTTTGACTTGGGTTTCAAAAATTTTGGATTGAGCTGCCCATGAAAGATTAATATGAAAGCTACAAAACATAGCAAGAATAAAGAGCAAGCTATTACAGTGGATACCTGGAGTATACTTGGAGGGTGTTTTGAGGATTAATGCTCCCGCAGCCCAGTCCATGACCAGGCCAGATGAGATATTTTGTTTCAAAAGAAAATATTAACAGTAAATGGAGGAAAAAATTCTCTTTAGGAAAATGTCACTAGTGGGGTCCTACAAAAATCAGTAACGTGTACAACTTTGATTCTACTTGATTAGCCAAGAATTTTTCCTGTGTGTAGTAGTCCCCCATATCCACGAGGAATACATTTCAAGACCTACCGAGGATACCCAAAACCACGGATAATAGTGAACCCTGTATTTAAGTCATTTTTCATTTACATACATACCGACAAAAAGATTTAAGATAAATTATGCACAAAAAGTTGAGAATTAGCACTTTTTCCCTGATGTTAAGCACTTCAATGCTTCTCTTAGGCTTTGAAAAACTTCCATCATTGTTACTTTTGTGCAAAATTAAGGGTTATTTTCAGGCCACAGTAAATCACAGATGACTAAAACAATGGATAGCAAATCTGCAGATGAAGGGTTATACTGTATAAGATTATTACTATTTTTTAACTCACTGGCTATGTCTGGCCAAGGCAGCGTGACACACAGGAGTGAACATATCTGATCTTTCGTTCATATGCTGTTTTGTTTTTTAACACACCAGCCATCTACCATCAAGGTAATGTGACCTGGTAAAAAAAAAATCCACTGCCACTCAGTCAGTGTCGTGCCAGAAGCATGGGAGAGAAATGGTATGAAATACTGACAAGATGGATAAAGACACAAATGCAGTATAATGCTGTCTTCTATTGACACCGTTTTGTCCACACAGTCAACTTTATCAAGTTGCAGACAGATCAACCTGGGCAGAGAGGATGTTTATATATATAGTGAACAAAGTGATGTGAAGAGTCGGGCAGAGTATGTTGAGGCTACTTTTTGGGTAGACTGATAACAGGTTGGACAATACATGGCCAACCTGTTATCAGATATTACTAAGTTCACACTTAGTAGCACTAATTGCTGAAGGTCACTTATCTCCACCCTGGTTTAACCTGCTAACCTATGCATATTGAAATAACACACCCCTTATCTTTAATGCTTTATTCATTTTTTTTTGACCCTTCTTCACCTTTATATATCCTCTTAACCATCCTATTATTTTTCTTAACTATATCTCAGCATTGTCTCTTCTGCATGTAAATATACTGTATTTCCTGGGAGACTGGCTGTCAACCACTTTCCTGGGTGGGAGATGGCTGGTCTGTTTAAAAAAAAAATGGTTTGCAAAGTCTGCCTGAAGAATAGACCGTTTGATCTGCAATATAAATCTTTTTTGCCTTTTTGAGTATTTATTAGTTTGATACCTTGTCTGTCCTGGTTTTCATGGTGACATCTTTGGGATATTATCACTTCATGGAGGTTTCTTTAGTGAAGTATATGCGGTCTCCACTGTTATATGCAGCAGTCCAGAAAGGATTATATAAGGGATTTATAATAGACAGTGAATTAGTCATTGTAATTAAAATCCCATTTAATAATTCTTAGATTTTTTGTGTTATAGCTGCTGCTAATTTCTAGGGTAATAAAAAGAATACTTTAGTCTGACTCCTTGGTCTTATTCCTTTTCTTCATAGGTCTTGATACTTTGAAAAACATTTGCCAGCCTTTGATAATTTGTCAAGATTCAAAGGGTAATTCACCACTGAAGCAGTGTGTGTGTGTGTGTGTGTGTGTGTGTGTGTGTGTGTGTGTGTGTGTGTGTGTGTGTGTGTGTGTGTGTGTGTGGGGTGTGTGTGTGTGTGTGTGTCTGTGTGTGTGTGTCTGTGTGTGTGTGTCTGTGTGTATGTGTCTGTTGTTCTCAGTCTCTCCTTGACTTTCCTTAATACTATGAATGTTTTAGTTGGAAACTTAGTAACTATCATCATTATTATAGCTAATTTATGTAAGTATTTACTTTATTGGCGGGGGTAACAGGGTGAAAAGTTAGTTACAAAATTTAAAATTCAGAGTTTTCTCTGCTTTGCTCAAAGGTTCTTGTAATTTGAAAACATATTCTTATTAAAAATTGAAGCACGAGACATTACATAGCTTATGGTTGTGTATGTTGATGAACAAGTCATTTAATTTTCTATAAAAATTGGAAGTTTATAACTATAAAAAATGTAGATTTGTATATATCATGTTTTATATTTCCAAATGAAATTTTCAGGTCCATAAGCAGCTCACCTCTGTGGGATACTACAGTGATGCAGAGTCTGTCAGGACTAATGGACTAACTACTCCTACAGCTTCCACACCTGCATGTTCACCCTTGCCACTTTCAACGCCAACTCCTACCCCAAATGGCCGTGGGTCATCAGCAGACTCTGGTGTAAGGCTTTCAAGTGATCGAGAGTCAACTGCTAGTCATGATGGTAAGTCGTTTGTTTGAGTAATGACATAGGGAAGAGTTGTTTAAAATCTTTACTTATTTACTTTTAATATCCGTACTTTTATTTACCAGTAAGGTTTTTTTTATTTCGTGTGTAAGATGAAATAGTATATACTAATTAGCACCAAACTTGCTATGGCATTTTTAGTGTAGGTTTTATTTTTCAATACAACGGATGTCTTACACTGAGGCAGGTGGGATTGAGAAAAGTAGAGAAGGAAAACACTCCAAACACACCGGGAGGATGTTCTGGAGATCAAAGCCCCTGTGGTCTGGTCCATGACCAGGGTTTGATCAACCAGGCTTTTACTGATTTCTTTTTTTACACTGGCCATTTTCCACCAAGGCAGAGTGGCCATAAGAAGAAAAACACATTTTGTCATCACTCATTCCTAACTGTCTTTCCTAAAGTGCTTGGACATCATAGTTCAAATGTTCCATCAAACCACAACATACCCAAGTGTTATACTTCCAACCTCCAGAATACAAGTCTAGCTGGTTTCCTCTGCATTCCTTCATAGATGCATTTAGGCCAGTAGTGGTACCTATACTTTTCAGTTTTTAAAATTATGATTTCTATTGCTCATTAAACATTAAATAGCCTAGAGGAGAGTGATTGAAGTGGATCAATATTTGCCTATACAGGAGGGCCCCACTTTATGGCGTTTTGCTGTTACAGTGATTTTAAATTGCAGCCTCTCCTCACTTAACGACAGAGTTCCATTCCTAAGACAACATTGTTAAATGAATTAGTTGCTAAGTGAGGAGCATACTATAATGGTAGTGAGTTTATGTCAACCATCATTGATATTGTTTTAATGTCACCTTTGCACCATTTATAACATTTCTGGTATATTTTTAAATGTTTATACAGCAGTGTACTGTATATTGAAATAAACAGAATAGAGGAAATCAGCTCTAATATACATTATTTAGGTATGAATGCTGGTCAGGGAGCCCATCGTAAATCCGAGGCATCGGTAAACAAGTACGTTGCTAAGTGAGGAGAGGCTGTATACCCATTCTTCATTTATTCAGACTTCCTACAGTAAATATATTCACCACTCATTATAAGCTAAGGATGAAAATATTTTAAGTTTAAGTAGTGTGTGTACTGTATATGCATTTTTTTTTTTAGGCCTAGCTCTATTGCTCACTTAATATATGATAGGCTTTTATATGTATTTTGAAAGTGAAAAAAGGCTATATTTCACTTTACAGCAATTTTTGCTTTACAACTGTAACCTGGAACCTAACCTGATGTATAAGCGGGGCCTTCCTTAAGTTAGCAGTGATGTTTTATTATTCTCTGCTCCAGAATACAATCATGGACTAATTGAAGTGCATGTAGAAAGCATGGCAAACTGTTGTATTCTATTCTCTCAATACCTTTGGCATCTTTGGCACCATTATCCTGTGCTGCCAAATGAAGTTTGGAAGTTTGATATGTGGAATTCATGCATAATTTAGCTTTAATGGCTTTCTATAAAGCAGTAATTTATGTCAGTCTCCCTGATTGTATAATATATTGTATTCCTCTTTATGGAAATGAAGTTTGTTTGCTTACTCTTGAATAATCTCATTGATATACACTGCTATTTTGGCTTCAGGAAATAGAATCACTCTGAAGGACAACAGTTTTCTTGACAAAGTCAGTACACTCATCTGTACAGTATCTGTGGTCAGACTAATAAATTCCATTTCTTCCACTCTATTTTTACTTTTTTATGGCAGATGAGTGAGTGGAGGGGACAAAAATGTTTCTAAAATACTTCCTGCTTGGAAGTTCATAGTTGGGTTCCATTTTTTTTTTTTTTTTCAAAAATTTACTGAAACCCTTGGTATTAACTACTGAAAAAAGGTCGGTCATCAACTGTGTATGTGGGTAACCCTCGTAGTCATGAGACATTGTTAATTTTACTATTTTAAAGCACGTGTAATGCTGTATTTATAAAATGTCCAGACGTGTTAGTGGCTTTCTTTGTACTTAACACTTTATAAAATATAAATTACGTATTGTAACCTTAGCAAAGAAATAAACTGTATTTGTATTTATATTTGTATTTGCAACTTTTTCACCGATAACAATACCATAAAAGTAGCTAATACCCCTGATACTGATACCAGTACTTTGGCCTGCTGGATGCTCAAGCCTGTACCTGTCAAACCTTCACATTTTTGTGCAGCCCTAACTGGAACATTCCCTACACCACCTTCCATCCACCCCAGATTTATATATATTCTCTTGGTTAGCCTAAATTGTTTCGTCTTTCTGAAATGCCCAAGCCATCCTGACCCCTTTGCCGGACAAGAAACTATAATGGCGGTAGGGTGATCCAATAAAGAGGAAACACTTTCACTGTCACTCATTAAATTATTGTCTTGCCAGAAGTGGGATGACATCACAAGTCAGATGGCCATTCAAATTGCAGCATCCCCACCCCTCTGATTTCAGAGTGCAGGCACTGTACTACCCACCTCCTGGACTTAAATCTTCGCTTACCAGTGTCTCAGAATCCCTTCATAAGTGTTACCTTATTCACATTCCAACAGCACGTTGTCTTAAAACCCACTTCTCCATTCGTATCTAACATGATCGCATATGCCTGTTGGATGTCTATGCTCGTAACACTCAAAAAAAACTTCCTTTACCCCCACTCCCTTCACTCTTTTCTGGAATGACCCCTATCCCTCCTTCTCTCCATCTTAGATTTATACATCTTTCTAGCCTTCTTGTTTTGCCCATCCTCTCCAGATGACCAAACCACCTCAGTAACCCCTCATCTGAATTCTTTCTTTCAACACACACCGGCCGTATCCCACCAAGGCAGGGTGGCCCAAAAGGAAAAACAAAAGTTTCTCCTTTTACATTTAGTAATATATACAGGAAAAGAGGTTACTAGCCCCTTGCTCCCGGAATTTTAGTTGCCTCTTACAACACACATGGCTTACAGAGGAAGAATTCTATTCCACTTCCCCATGGAGATAAGAGGAATTAAACAAGAATAAGAACTAGAAAGAAAAATAGAAGAAAACCCAGAGGGGTGTGTATATATATGCTTGTACATGTAAGGTGAGTGGTGCGTTGAGGTATATGTGGAGTCAAAAAACGTTATCTATGGAGGCAAAGAAGGGAATATATGAAAGTAAAGTAGTACCAACACTCTTATATGGGTGTGAAGCTTGGGTGGTAAATGCAGCAGCGAGGAGACGGTTGGAGGCAGTGGAGATGTCCTGTTTAAGGGCAATGTGTGGTGTAAATATTATGCAGAAAATTCTCGATGTGGACATTAGGAGAAGGTGTGGAGTTAATAAAAGTATTAGTCAGAGGGCAGAAGAGGGTTTTGAGGTGGTTTAGGTCATTTAGAGAGAATGGATCAAAGTAGAATGACATGGAAAGCATATAAATCTATAGGGAAGGAAGGCGGGGTAGGGGTCGTCCTCGAAAGGGTTGGAGAGAGGGGGTAAAGGAGGTTTTGTGGGTAAGGGGCTTGGACTTCCAGCAAGCGTGCGTGAGCGTGTTAGATAGGGTGAATGGAGACGAATGGTACTTGGGACCTGACGATCTGTTGGAGTGTGAGCAGGGTAATATTTAGTGAAGGGATTCAGGGGAACCGGTTATTTTCATATAGTCGGACTTGAGTCCTGGAAATGGGAAGTACAATGCCTGCACTTTAAAGGAGGGGTTTGGGATATTGGCAGTTTGGAGGGATATGTTGTGTATCTTTATATGTGTATGCTTCTAGACTGTTGTATTCTGAGCACCTCTGCAAAAACAGTGATAATGTGCGAGTGTGGTGAAAGTGTTGAATGATGATGAAAGTATTTTCTTTTTGGGGATTTTCTTTCTTTTTTGGGTCACCCTGCCTCGGTGGGAGACGGCCGACTTGTTGAAAAAAAAAAAAAAAAACATGTATGTGTAGTGTGACCTAAGTGTAAGTAGAAGTAGCAAGACGTACCTGAAACCTTGCATATTTGAGACAGAAAAATGGACACCAGTAATCCTACCATCATGTAAAACAATTACAGGCTCATCTGAATTCTCTGCATAATATTTACACCATTCATTTTCCTCATACACATCTCCATTGCCTCCAGCCTCCTCCTCAGTGTAACACTCCAAATTCATGCTGCTTGCCTATATAATAGTGTTGGTACAGTGGTACATTCTATTTTTTGCCTCCATGGATAAAAGTCTTTGTCTCTTCAGATGCCTCAATGCTTCACTCACCTTCCCCTCATCAATTCTGTGGTTTATATTTTCAGTTCTTCAGTAATTTTGTAGTTTTACTTTCACTAATTTTTAATTCAGCGAGGTGTGTGCATCTCTGGTTAAAGGTTTATATGCTAAACTTTCATGTATTTCAAGTAAATTGCATCTTTTATATTAAAAATGTCTAGGAGCAACACTAATAAGTCTGTAAGTGGTAAGAGGAAGAGAAAAGTGCTTTCAGTGGATTCTAGGAGACAGCAAGTGTATCTCTGTTAAGGTATGTACTTTTCTATATGTAGCTGCAGGAGTCAACTCTCAGCTCTTGGCTCTGCCTCTTTTGCTGGACTTTATTTTTTTTTAAGAATAAGGTCACAGTACCATGGATGGAAGAATTCACAACTGACCCATAATGTAGAGAGAAAGTTTTGAACTCTATCTCACTCCATTTTAATATTGGCCAAGATAGACTGAATCGTCATTCAGAGTTTCCTCTCTAGATCTTGGGCTTGTTGTAACTTGATTTTTGTTTTCTATTTTTGACAACTTCATTGATTTATTGTACATTTTTTTTTTTTTCAACAAGTCTGCCGTCTCTCACCGAGGCAGGGTGACCCAAAAAAGAAAGAAAATACTTTCATCATCATTCAACACTTTCACCACACTCACACATTATCACTGTTTTTGGAGAGATGCTCAGAATACAACAGTTTAGAAGCATATACGTATAAAGATACACAACATATCCCTCCAAACTGCCAATATCCTGAACC